CACCACCAGCCAGCATATCCCAGCCTTCACCAGTTCGTGTGTGTAATGTTTGCACAGGAAGCACCATCAACACGTTTCTGTCTGTCCCAGGACATGTAAACATTCTCCCATAGTTGCCAGGTACTGTCAGAGGAGCTCAGAGGGGTGAGTCAGAAGGCAGGCATTATCTTTTGCAGTCCCATAGCAAATAGCTTGGATTGAAAGAACCCCAGGGATTTTTCCAAGGAGAATTCTGGTTTCATGGCATTAAACCTTTATATAAAGCCTGTGTTTGGTCTCCTTGCTTCCTAACTGCCAGCAGCACAGCAGTTGCTGAGGTATACTGAAGGTCTGTGGTGATGCCTCTTCCTCAAGGATAAAAGAGAGGAAGTTTTCTAGCCTGTTTCACCTAAGCCATCAACATATTTTGGCAATTTAAACAGACTGATCTCAAACTCCTCTTACCCTGTAAATTGCTGTTTTTATCCCCAGGACTGCTCCCAAGGCAGCTAAGGTAACACCTGGTTTTAATTTCTCATGACAAACCAGAGAAGTGCCAGGATTTTTCCTCTTCTGGTGCAAAGACATGGCCCTGTGAGCGGATTGCTAGGTGACTTCTGCTCAGCAAATCCCCCGACTGAACTCTCTCCCTTGCCCTGATGGTGCAGCCCTGGATGTACGGCCCCAAAACTCACTCCTGCTTCCCCAACTTTGTCAGGCGCTGAATTCCCAGCTCTCTCCTTCAGCTTCAATAATAACAATAACGTCACTGGCAAAGCAGGCAGGAAGATGATACATGCAGAAGCAGTGACAAACACCTAAACATCTGACTTAGGGATGTTAAAATGTCAGCCCATGGGCATGTGACAAACCCCACGTTCTGGATTTGTTTGCCAGAGGGAGGAACTGAAAATGGTGTTGGCTAATTTTCCTACCCTGGACTGCCAGCACAAAGTGGTCCTTCACAGACTGTCAAAACAGTATATTTTTTTCTTAATCTAGAGTGTCAGAACAGCTCTGAGCACGTACTGTACTGCTGTGTCTACAGGTCATGTGGGTACATTCTGCAGGGGATTTCCCAAGCGTTGCCAATGCTGCGGCCATAGGAGCAGGAGACAAAAATATTTACACAGAATCTGGGGGCAGAATTTGCAGCCTGTGCCATACTATACAGTCTTCCTTCTTATAACTCTGGACTCCCTTGGATATTTCTTTCATTATTGCATCCCCTTAGGTAATTTATGCCTGTACAGACTTTTAAATTAAAAAAAAAAAATCTTTAGTGTGGACTCTGCATATCAAAGTCTCTTTTGTCAGAAATTTTGTGCTCTGAATGGTGGTTAAACCACAGATGGCATACCTGAAGGCACTTGTGATTCTGATCTGCTCGCTGCCATCCATGGCACAGTCCTTGCCTGGTGTCCCTCCTCTATCCCTCGTGACTGGTCACCAGTTTCTCTTGGCATTGGATCTGCAGTTCCTTCAGAGCCAGTATGGGCACATTGGTCTTGGATGAGGGCACAGGGTTAGTCACTCCCAGTAAACAATGTCTAATTGTCTAAATGTTTTCCTTTCCTCTAGGAAAGCACTCTGTATTGTCCATGCTGCGGCTGCTGTCTCGCTGCTCTATTTTCTACAATTTCTTAATTTTTTTTACAAAAAAAAAGCTGCTCTTTCTTACCCTATTTCTTGCATGGCCCAGGTTCAGCTAAAGTTGCTTAAAGGCACACAAATGATGTCATGAGGAGATTAAGGAACACAATCACAATTGCTGCGTGATCGAAAGCAGCAGTAAAGGACAACACCACAGACTTGCAAAGCAGAATTTGAGATCCCTTTGTTCCAGCCAGTGTTGGGGAGGGGCATCACTGTTCCTGTGAAAACAAAGGGGCAACAACAACAGTGGGATGTTTCTGAAAACCGGTTTTTCTCAAGTACTCCGTGTTTTAGAGGAACCTAAAGGCGGCACTGTTACCAAACAAGTTAATAATTCTTTTAAAAGGAGCCTGTGCAGCGGTGTGGGGAGAGAAATTGCTCTAAGGAGATTTTAATCCACGAAATGGATAACAGATGACAGGCAAGCTATGGATGATGCCCATGTGTTAGAAAAACAAATGACAAATTTAGGGACGTACTTCAGTGCTCTTACACCACAGAGAGAAATTTGTTGTTGAGACCTGGACACAAAGAATGCAGAATTTATAAACCACAAAGACACAGAAACTGGTGATGAAGGAAAAACCAATAAAGACAATTACTGAGATTCTCTCTATCTGGGAAAAAGAAATAAAGAATAAAAACGCTAAGAATGTGGATTAATTATCATTAGAATAAATAAATAAATAAATAAATAAATAAAATAAATAACAATAGGTGATAGAATACTGATTTATGAAGAGAACTTTGTAGCTTGTAAACCAATGAACACTAATTTCTTTGTTTGCTCAAATGTATAAATAGTTAAATGATTTGATAACTGGCATGTTCTGTGGAGCTATCCCCACGTACCCTAACAATGAATAAAGTAATGTTGACCTTCTACCCTAACAAACTGGTTAAAGAATTTATTTCTCATCTTTTGGTGGCAGTTTATGGTACCCCAGATGGCACAAAGAGGTGCCAACTCAGTGGACCAGAGGAATTGTCAGCACTCCAGTGCACACCTGAATATTTTCGGGGAGATCTTCCCATTTCCTGGTCTGGTGCATAGACCACTCTGCCCTTTCTTGGAAAAAGAATACAATATTACTAAAGGTACTTTATTTGAAGGTATTTTTCCTGCCCATAAGTTGCACTAATAGAAAGTTTGCAATGTGAGGCTCAGAGGTTTTTCAAATGTTCACCAGCTTGGGTTTTGGGAAGGGTTGCTAAAGATTGTAAGAGCTATAGAAAGCTTGTAAAAGGTTTTAAAGGTGTTTAAAGGTTTTTTTCCTAAGATGGTAAAGATGGGAGTGGGGCTATCTTCATAGCTCCCAAGAGAAGAGATCCCAAAGGGTTCCCCTTTGGCTTGTGTCCTAAGGAACTGGAAAAGGTTGGGGGTCTGGGAATAATCCTGATTAGTGGAAGGAATGTATGCGTGTGCCTAGAGATCCGATGGTGACAGCATTAGAAGAGAAGGGATGGGAAGCCACTCAAAAGGTCCAGGAAGGAAAAGAAGCTGTCTGTCCAGTCCTGAGCTCCTTTCTAAGAAAGAGCTGAGCCTGACTGCAGGTAGGGCTTTCAGGAATTGAAGGATGCTGCAATGACTGCTCCTGCACTGGAACTACTGGGCTTGCTAGGCAGAACTGCTGCCCTGTGGAACAGAGTGACCATCACACGTTAAATGCCAGGACAGCTCAGGGTTTGCAGGCAGGATGAGCTGGATGTTCCCCCTGGAAAGCACCGTGAAGACTTCCAGGGAGTTTCTGGGCTTGACATCACTTGACACATGTTCAGCAGACTCAAATGTCTCTGCTCTTTTCAGGCTTTTACTGTGGAGTAAACAAGAGCCTTCCAGGAAATGTTCTGCAGCTTGGTGAAGCCAGGCCTGAACAGCACTTGACAGAGCAGCTGATAAAAAAGACCCTCATTAAATTCCTTTAGATACAAAATTCCTGTGACTGGTCAAGCTCTGGGGCATCATCAAAGATTTTTTGGTTATTCAATTTAGCTTTATTCTATCCCTGAAGCTATTTTATCAACTTTCTCTAAAATTTTCTATGGTTGTAATCTCAACAGCAGTTAGGTTCCTAAACATGTTTGGAACTAGTCCAACCAGTCTATATTGGACCTTGTCCAACATTGTCCTTGTTCTTCTTAGCCCCAAAATAAATGTATTTTCTGTATTTCACAGGAAAGCAGACCAGCCTATTAATTAAAGTGGGAATTTGGGTACTTCAGCAGGAAGGGACTTACAGGCATTTCAAAAAGATGTGACCTGTACCTTCATATTAACATGAACGTATACATGCAATTTATTCAAGGTTGAATGAATCATCACGTGATATTTAATGTTGTTCTGCTTTAATGTCTTCAGGTGCTGAATCCAGGGTAGAGGCAGCACTGTAGTTCAACACTCCTTCAACCTTCTCCTGACTGCCTAGTCCAAGGTTTTATAGATGAGCCATACCTAATGTTCATTTTTGAATGGTTCAACATATTTGTATTGACCAGGAGAGACTCACAAATTATTCTGACAAATGGCTTGCATGTTTTAAATGGTCTTATTTCAATTGCAACATTACAGCAACATTAGGAATTAATAAATGATACTATATAAATGCACTGAAAATATGATTGAGCTTTATTTCAGAGGTAGTATGCTTGCTCCTCCCCTTGTTTGATCTGTTGGTACATATATAATATTTTTTAATTTAAATGTAAGAACTTGTGACTACCATTTCATATTTGCTATATATACCATTCAGAACCAGACTCTGTTCATTCTATTGCATTAAGGCATTAATTAATTATTCCATTCTAGGGCATTAAGGGCACACTGTGTACATATAGTCTGTATGTATGCTGTCTTTAATTTACATGTAGATTGTTTCCATTTTTTTAAAAAATTACTATAAATGGTTGGCAATTTCCAGAAGTTTGGTGTTAATATTGGGTTGTAATAGACCTTTGCAAATGTCTTTCTTTTTTTTTTTTTCCTGTTTTGAAGACCTCTCTGCCATCCTGAGGAAACTTAGGCTAAAGGCAAGAGGAATGAGGCTGCATCTGCAGCCACTCTGCAGATCACTAGCCTACAAAATGGCTCAGCACCCTAATCCTGCTGCCTGCTTATTTGTGCAAAGTGTGATTCTAGTGTTGTGTGCCTGTAATGAATGGGCTTGGAGAATGCAAATTATCTGAAGGAGGTGTCAGAAAGAGCCATTAGACTATGCTAGATCTGAAAATATTTAGAATTTTAGTTGCTTCCTCCCCCTTCTCAATTGACTAAGGAAGTTAATCTGAAATTCATAAGACCTTGCCCACCTGAATTAGTCTCTGCATGCACTTATCCTGTATTATTAGCTATCAAGTAAAACCAGACATCAGTGTCCTGGGAGGGCTGGCTGGGCATCCTTGCCCTCGGCAGGTTTTTCCTCCGGCACCGGATCCAGGTCTGGCACCTTCTGTCCTGCCTTGGCCACCGTGAACCTGCTCATGTGCAGAGCTTCTTCGTACACTGGAGGGGTGTCTGAGGCTGACAGGGGAGGTGTTCCCTGGGCAGAATTGTGGGAGTGTGCCACAGCTAAAATCCTCCTGGCAGCTGGCCCAAACACCGAGTGGAGAGCTGGAAGAGAAGAGAACAAAGCTGTTTGCCTCATCCTGAAAGCATCGTGTGATTAGAGGAGGGCATAGGCTTTTCCCACAGCCAGAATGTTTTCCTGTTCCTGCTCCTTCAGTCTTCCCTAAAAGGAGTGTGTGTATGAAATCCCACTAGCAGCACCCCACAATTCCTCTCTCCTGAAATCCACTGAAACCTGTAGCTGCCCTTATCCCACCCCAACATGTCTCACAGCTGAGTGCCTGAGCTTGTAGCCTGTACAGAGGTCGCTTTCTCTCCCTCCTGCCATGAACTTCCCCCTGCCAGCCGTGGGGTATAATAGGACCTACAGCTGGTCTGTGGGCTTGGGAGGATTAATGAATGAGGTTTGTTTTGAGAAGTATTCTCTGACCAAGGCTGTTAGCCTTGAGACCAAGAAGATCAGCAAGAAGAAACCTGCAGCTGTGAAAAGTATTTTTAGAAAAGTTTTGTGAAAAACAAAGGTGTAGATGGCTTTACATCTATCAACGTTATGTTGATCTATTGTAACCCATGAACAAAGTGTAAACTTTGTAGAGGGTATAAAAGACAGCTAGCTGTTGTAATAAACGGGATATCAGCCTTCTGAAATGTAGTGTGTCTATTTGTGTGTCACGCCTGCCCCTACAGCGACATTGGGGTGCCACCAGCTGGGCTTTACAGTGCAGCTCCCTCACTTTGCACTTCACAGGGAGTTGGAGTGCCCTGAAGGATCTGGCAAGGCCAACTCACAAGTGATGGTGCTCTGGAGGGTGCTGTCGTGGTCAAAGGCGATGACGGTGACCTCGTAGGGCTGAGAGGTCCCAGACTCGTCCCCGGTCTGGTGGCACTGGAAGCAGCACCTGACACAGACAGAGACCAGCCCACACAGCAGCAGGAGCCCCCCAGCCACCAGCACCAGCCTGCAACGGCAGGGGACACAGAATTAGGACAGAAAGATTTTGTTTACAGGACACCTCTCAATGTCTCTGATTGCTTACAGCATGGTTAACCTCAAAGCTAAACAAAGCCACCTGAGGCTTTGTCCAGTGGAGTTTGGACAGTATCCAGGGATGCAGATACATCATCCCCTCCATGTAGCTGCTCAAGTGCTGCACCATCTTCAGGGGAAACATTTTTTCTCCTGTCTAATCAGAATTTTCCTGTCTGTGGCTTGGTCAGCCACTTTACGTGCTTCTACTGAACACCTCTGAGAAGTCTCTGTCTCTATCTTCTCTCAAGAACCCCCTTAGGTAGTGGAAAACTGCAATCACTTTGTTCCCTTAGCTTCCTCCAGACTGAAGAAACCTGGTTCTTTTTATTGGCTCTCCAGGGGATTGGCTTCAGTTTGCCAACATCTATTTTGTACTGGGGGACTGAAACCAGGTATTCCAGACTTCTCATCATGAGTGACAAGCGGAGAGGGAAAATTGGATCTTGCAATCTTCTGGCATACCCGTATTAATACAGCCTTCTAGATGTTCAACAACTACCATCCTTCTTAATCTCATCCTGGTGGGAATGACTAAGAAATCAGACAGAACTTACTTTAAAAATCAGTCTTTTAAAAGGCATATTGTGCCATGGATACTTTATTAATAGTGATCATATGACTAAATATGTGGAATGAAAAGGAGGCTGGTTGGTCAACTTTTCTAAGAGACAGTGACATATCTGAGGGGTTGCCTTGCTCTTGTAGAGCTTTAGAGAATCCCAGGAAAAAGGAGGGGATGGCATCACTCTTGAGTAGGTCACATTAAATCCCACCCCTTGCTACTGGAATTGTCTAAAGATGCATATATTTAGAGTAAACATGTTATCTTACCAGATATACCACAGACGGTCCCATTCTGTACCTGAACAGCTAAAGAGAAGATGGTACAAGAAATAGTTATTCACAGAACACCAAATAAATGTGAAAATCCCTATGGAACCCTCCTCCATCCCCCCTCATACTCCTCACTTACTGTCCAGATTCCAGATGGCACAAAGATGAGAAACTCATTGTGCTTTGTGGAGGACATAGTTGTCCAACCTCATCAATATCTCTGTTAGGTGAATTTCCCTTCTCTTGGCTTTATATCTTGATTGTTTTCCTGATATTTATCCTTGCCCAATTCCCTTTGCAAACCTTTGAGATCTGCATTCATGTTCATTTTTTTTTCTTTTTTGTCACTATATAATTTTGGTTATTCTTACAAATGATGTCACTGATAGTAATATTCACCAAAGCAGTGCATTTCAAACCATTTTTTTCAAGGAAAGTTCGATTCTAAATTCATAATCCCAGTCAACTGAAATTATACCAGAAAGCTCTTAACTATTGCAGTAATGCAGATAGGCAGCAGGAGCAGTACCACACAATCAGTATGTTGATCAATAAAAATAGTAATTGATACAGTTCACATTCAAAGTAATGGTGATTTTACATGAATTTTTAAAACAACTAAATAAGATTTTATTTTTTGGAAAATGTTAACCATCAGGTCATAACGCCCATGTCCAGTATTGCCTTTGTTGTTCATTGTTTTTTCAAAAGAAGAGTAAAATTAACAAATACTTAACAGTTCAGTGTTGAGGCAGCCTTCCTCACCTCTCACTTGCGGGAACTAGAAGGAGAAAAGCAGCAAAGACACAGACAGACAGAATTAAATCTTTGACAAATGCATCTTGTATATCTTTTATATTATGAGTCTCCTATGATAAAGATGTATTGTTATCTATCTTCCATTGCTTCTATCATATATTCTGCTGTAAATTACTCTTACCAGCAGCATAGTTTCATATATTAACTTCCTGTAGTCCTTAAAATCCTCTTTAGTACTGTTCTTAACTTCATCATCACCACAACCTTCCCTTTCTCCACTACAAGCCATGTCACTTTCCAGCTGTAGATCCTTTTCCATGGTCCATTATTAAGAACATTTAAATACTCTGTATTTAAATTACACCCTCTTACACTCACCCTGGCTTGAAAACTGCTCTGTCCCTCCAGCACTCCTACACTTCTCATTCATTTTCCTTGGGAATCCTGATGTCTGTCTGAGTTACCACCCCTGGAATAGCAGCAAATATCATCTTCTCCGTGTGTGCCTTTTAAATGTCCAGTTCTTTCTAATATCAGGGAAATTATTATTGCTAATGGCCCTCCATCTTTCCAAAGTAACTCCATATCTGACCAGAGACCCCATAAAGAGGAATGTCAAAGATAACTTACCCATAAGAAGCTCCCTACAACAAAGCAGATCATGTCTGAGTTATGCATCCCTGTAAAGTGGTTCTGTGGCCTCTTGGTGTTTCAAGCTGCTCAGAGTTTTCTTGTCCTTTTTACTTTCAGTTCATCCTCACCAGTCCAGTGGCCAGGAGAAGGAGCAGCTTCTATGCTGTGTGTTGAATCCAATCTCTTCCTCCTACTCTTCCTCTTTCTGCCCTTCAGGTTTTTGCCTTCTCTCTTTTCCTTTTTGTCACTGGCAATTCCTGATTGTTTCTGTCTGTCTCTTTTTGTTTTTCTATTGGCCTGGTTCTCTTCCTCTTTTGAAAGGATTTCTAAAACCTTCCACTCAGATCAGGAGAAGAGCAGTGGCTACAGGTTCTTACTTTAGATGTTTAACTAGTTTAGTGAAGGGCATCATGAGATCTCTGCAGGCCTGCCCCTTCCCTTCTGTGAGCAGAAAGGGTCTCTGAGTTTGTTCATTCCCAATTATTTCTCTCCCCGCCCCTACCCTGAGGGGAGTGGGTTCAAGGTCATGTTACTGACCTGTTTAAATGGAGTTCAGATTTCTTTCCGTCCTCCAGGACCTTTTCTGCTGCTGCACTCACATTGTCCTACCTCTGATGATCCAATCTGCTGACTTGGAAGTAAAATAATTTGCCATATAATAATTATATCCAGCATTTTATATATATATTTCTGCAGTTATATGCACATGTGTGTATGTAGACATATATGAATATGAATATATTTATGCATATATATATATTCATATGCAGCAACTCTTGTACCTCCCATTTTAAGGCTCTGCCATCATCCCTCTTACTTGGTCATGTCCTGCTATGTCACTCCTGCAGCTGAGAGTCTGTTCACTCACAGGTCTCACTCCCAAACTTCCTGCATGGCCAGTCAAGTCCCCCCCTAAATCCCTTGCAGCTCAGGGATTACATGTTGATTCTCCTGTCCTGGATATTATTAGTCCTACAGCTGGTTATATTCACAGGCTCCATTCAACGACCCATTAATTTTCTCTGTCTTGTAGAATTGCTTAAAATTTCTGTTAGTGCTCGTGGCTATCTAGAGTGTTATTACAGTCATGTAATTGGGTTCTCCTAATCTTTCTCTTTTGAATAGCTGAGACCAGAAAAAATGCTCTGCAGTAATGTGTAACTATTTGTGTTTGGGAACCACCTGGGACTGGTGCATAAATGTTTGTTAAAGGCAGGATAGCAGCTAGTGAGACTTGTTACTCCTTGTTGCAATCACAGCCCTCTCACATTAAGCTGGTGAATCATTAGCCCTGGTGGTGCATTTTAGAGTTGCAGAGCAGAACCAATGGATTCATGAAATAATATATTCTCCCAAGGCAGGCTAAAACCCATTTGCCATTCTCTAGTTATAAAAGCAGTGGTGCAGTATAAACAAGCCTTAGCAGTAGTTTGTCCGTCCATCCATCCATCCATCCATCCATCCATCCATCCATCCATCCATCCATCCATCCATCCCTGCTGGAAGAAGGTTTCTGAATCCTGATGGACAAATAAGAAAGAAAGAAAGAAACATGACCTACTGACATTGTATTTACATAGGAATTGACCAATAGTCTTTTTGTCTCCTTCTCCTAAATTCTTTGGTGTATTATAGAAGTCTTAGAAGAAAAGACCCAGCAGAACTGTAAAATTGCTTGTCTTACATGCATGGCTTTTGAAATTGGTGGGATTTAATGTGGAAAAGAAGTACAAATCACTAATGCTTTCAAGGGCTTTTTATTATCAGTGTAATAATTTAATAGATCATCACTTGATTTTAGCTGAAATTCAGTCATATGATAATCTCAAATTCTGGGATGATCCAAATGCAGAAATATCAGAAAAAGTGACCAAAAATTCCCTAAAGAAAAGGCTGCAGTGTGACATGAAACAGTGACCTCTCAGAAAGAATATCATAGTTAATTCTTACTGAAACTTATTGATTACTCTTCTTCAATTTCTCTGGTATTGCTCTTAACACTCTGTTTCCAGTGTTACCAAAAATAGGTAAAAATACAAACTCCTTAACACCAATGTAGCATTAAGAAGCAGGCATTCTTTGTTTGGCTGGATGCATGAGGGGATATCCTCTGTAATATTGTGCATGCTGAGTACAGAAAAGCTCCTATTTAGAGGCTTTATTTTACACATATATTGATTGATTTTCCTGGAATAAACATGCATTTGATAATCATTTTCCCAAAATCATTAACATATTTTCTCTCCTCTCTGCAGATGTGTTTTTCCGTCCTGGGGGTCTCTTTGGTGGTCCCTGTGTCTGGTGACCCCAAAGTCAAACTTGGTGAACTGATAAAATTTGGCACAACTGGGCTGGTTGCTCTCCAGTTCTTCTTTCTGTAGAATGGGCATTCTGCAGTTCCATAGGCCAGTGGTTTTTCAAGAATGATCATTGTATTAACCCACCAGGTGCAAAAAATTCTTCATCTGGCAACATTCTCCCCTTTAAGGCTTGTGAAGCTTGTCTTTAACTGTTCCAGGAGGTGGCCTTTTCCTGCTGATGGGATTGTTTTTTTTCAACAAATTGGACATTGCACTGTTACAGATTTTTCTATTTCAGTCGTTCCCACACTAAGTACAGAGTTTTGAAACTAGATGTCATGGACTCAATTCCCCTGAGGGATTCGTTGTGTTCTTTCCCCATTGCTTTCCTCCCTACAGGAAGTGGAACAATAACCTGTTGGTTGTTTGTTACCCACCATCTCTCTTGATTCTTAGTGGCTTTTAATATATTTTCTAAACATTGATCCTCGTTGTCAGAATTAGCCTTAAATTCAGGTATGTCTTTTTTGGTTTATTTATTTATTTTTAAATTTTTTTATTTTGGCACTGACTCTGGGATGCCTTTTTCACCTACTCCTTGAGCTGCTTTGTCTGCCAGTCGGTTTCCCACTCTAACATTAGTTTGTCCAGATTGATGCAGTTTGCAATGCATCACTGCCACCTCCTTTGGTTTTTTAAACTTCCTTCAAAAATTGTAAATTCTCTTCTCTGTCTTGAATAGATGATCCTTGAGCTGATAGCAGTCTTCTTTCCTTCCATATGGCTCCACGGGCATGAATCACAACAAATACATATCTAGGATCAGTCCAAATATTCACTCTTTTGCCCACTGCCAAGTACAATGCTGGTTTTAGTGCTATTATCTCTGCTTTTTGGGCTGATGTGTTAATTGGTAAAGACTGAGCTTCTAATACCTCAGTGGCAGTCACCACTGCATATCTTGCCATGCATTTTCCATATTTCATGAAACTAATGCCATCTAAATAATTCTAAATCAGGATTCTCTACTGGTTCATCCTGCAAATCAGTTCTGCTGGAATATACCTGTTCCATGGTTTGGAGACAATCCTGTGCCAGGACTCCCTCATTCACTGCCTTTGGATCAAGGAAAATGGCTGGATTCATGGCTGCTGTCATCTCTAACTCCACATCATCCTGTTCCAAGAGCACAACTTGGTATTTGAGCATCCTGCTGGGGGACAGCCAATGCCCTTCCTTTTGCTCTAATATGGATGTCACCATGTGAGGGACAAAAGCAGAGATGTGCTGTCCAGTCCTGAGCTTCCTGGCATCTTGGATCAGTGGAACAGTTGCAGCAATTGCTTGCAAGCATCCTGGCCATCCTGTACTCACTTCATCCAGCTGTTTGGAGAAACAGCCCACAGGTCTCCTCCAGGTTCCCAACTACTGCATCAGGACCCCCAGGTCCCCTCAGGTTATCTGAGCATCCAATTTTCCCCATAAATCTCTCCCCAACAAGGGGACTGGGCATTAAGGCATATATAGAAACTGATGAGTAGTGCAGTTCTTTCCTAATTTAAATTTCATGGGCTGACCGAGTTTCACTTTTCCCTGTAGCACCAGCTATATTTACCACATTGTGTACATTTACCACATGTACCAATTTACATTTAACAATTTGCAATTTGCAATTTACAGTTTACCAATTTACATTTGCCACATCCGTACTAAGCTTTCCTTTACATGTTTTCAATACAGAATAAGTTGCCCCTGTGCTTAGCAAAAATTCCACCACTTCTTTCCCCAGCCTCAGGGGTTCAGCTGGGGTAGGTTCCCCCTTTTCCCTTCATCTTCTCGTGTAAGGTTGTAAGGCAGGGTCGAGCTTCCCAGCCTGGGGGCATTCCCACTTCCAACCCCTTTTCCTTACCAAGTGCGCTCTGGTTTTACCTCTTATCGTTGTCGGGGAAACGATGGGCGCCTCCTGCCTCCCCTTCTCCTTGTTCCACCTCTCCTTTTTTTTCTCCTGCCCTCTTGGGCGGTCTCTTAGCACCCTCTAGAGTTCCAAGTAGGTTCTCCTGGCTCGTGTTTTCCCTTCCAGCCTGTCACATTTCTCTATGTCTGTTGTAATACTCTTTCCAAGCTTCATCTAACAACTTACCTGAGTCACACTACTCCAGTCCTTCCATATTCTGGAATTTTTTCTAATATCTGGGGCCGACTGCCCTATAAAGATAGTTTCTAACTGTACAGCCTCCTCTAGATTCTCAGGATCCAGATTAGAGTATTTTCTGACAGTCACCTTCAATTATTCAATGAAAGTCGCAGTCCTGTCCTGCTTTACCTCGTGCAGTTTTGACCAGTTCATTTAGCATACTTTACACCAAATAGTGCCCATCTCTGGTACCTTGTTAAAACATCCCCAGCCCGGGTAAATTAAGGTCTCACCTTGGGTCTGTTGAAGGAAACTTTTGATCTGTAGTTGCTTCTAAGCCTCCATGAGAATGTGCCCCCTCCACCTGCTTTCTGCCCGTGGTCAATACCATATATTTTTTCTGTACTAACCAATGATGTTAATTTGTATATCATTTCAGTCAGGTTCTTGAGTCCTAATTGTAGTTCCTGGTGTAATTCCAGCAGTTTGGGTCAGCCCTGGTTTAGCAGTCAGAGGATCACAGGATCATTTGGGTTGGAAAAGGCCTCTGAGACCATTCAGTCCGACCTGTGACTGATCACCACCTTATCAACCAGACCATGGCAATAAGT